CATAAAATCAGTCATCTGTTATGTTACTTTCTCTAGGTGGTTCAAGTACCATAAATCTAGATTGAATAACAGCTGTTATTATTGGAAGACACAAAAATATTGTCCACTAGTCCACATACTAACTATACCCATTGCCCACTGTCTTAAATTGGCCATATAGAAGATTTTTTTTTTTAAATAGATAAATTCAACCATCCGGTTTTAAAAATAATGAATGTATACTTAGGGTTTTTTGGTACCATACAATGTATTTAAATTTTTATTGAGGAATTTATATCATTTATAAGATAGGCTTTTTTAGAAAATATACTTGCGTCATTCAGTCATACATTGAAATCATTATCTATTACTAGATAGACTTCAAGGGCCGACGCTGTAACTTTTGCCAAAAACAATCATGGGTCTATTTTAACTATTATAACAATAATTGTTCAACAATATAACAAATTGATTGTTCATATAATAATAGTTACCTATGTATAAGGAAACTGTTTTATTTACAACTGGAGATGCTAAAATGTATTAACWTAATTAAAACTTGTCAAAACTCGGCAACCATAAATTATTAAAAATGGAGACCGTTTAAATAAAAATTTAAACTTTTTTTCTAACCTAAAATACTATTACATAATGAAATCTATTGTTTTATCTAGAGTCTTGAAAAAGAAGAGGCAAAACGTAAACTTTTGGAGAAAAAACAACAGTTTCGAAAGGAATTGTATGAGCAAGTAGTACAAAAAGAAGCAATATTAGAACAACAAAAAGCATTAAAAGCGATYGAATGCATCAACGTTAAAAAATTGAATGAAAAGTTGAATGAAGAAGAACAATTTGGTTAGTATGAACCTAATCAATAATTATTATTATAAAGTATTATATAAAATTCATTTTGATTGAGCATTTTAATTTGAATATTTTCAATAAATCTATGGGTAAAAATAAATATTCAGAAATATTTGATTTGTCATCAATAGGTATCCAACTAAAACTGGTAAATCTATGTGATAAATATTTGCATATCAAATGTTAATTTTATTATAGAAAAAATGGAACGTAAAAAAAAACAATTACAGACAAAAAAAGAAATAGCACTATTTACCAAAGAAAGAGCGAATTTGTTTTCAAAAATAAAYGAGGCGACAGCAATGTTCGATGAAACATTTAAGATCACAATGAAACAAAATTTAAAGGATGATTCAGCAGATCAAATTGAAGCAAAGGTTTAAACTACGATGAACAATTTCAGTTTCAGTTTTTTAAAGTACAATTTTTATACATTTTAAAAATATTATAGGTTCAATTGAAACGTGAAAACGAAATGTTTAAAGAACATCAAGCAATTATTAAAGAAGAACGCAAAAGGCAAAATGATGAAATATC